TGAAGTGCATGTTGCCCAATGTCCCTGCAACTGTCTGGGGCTGGCCTCTGGTGGCCCAGCCCCTGCTGCCTGGGGTGGACAGGCTGGGGGAAACCTTGCACCCCAAACTCTATTGAGGCAGGAACCACTTCGGGGCACTCTGGTCTGGGCAGCACCGCCTCAGGGCAGGTTGCTCAGGGCTGTGTCCAGTCAAGTGTTGAATATCTGCAATCCCATAACCTCTCCAGGACCCTGTTCCAGTGTTTGGCCACCCTCGAGGTGAAGAGTTTTGTCTAAATGTCTAAAAGAAATTTCCTATGTTCCAGCCTGGGCTGTCACCTCTTGTCCTGCCTCTGTGCAGCTTGGAGAAGAGCCTGGCTCTGTCCTCTCTGCGCCCTGTCATTAGGCACTCCCGCTGGGGTCTCACACATGCTGAAGAGAAGAGCAGGATCCCTACTAGCTATCTGCACTCTTGCTTGTGCAGCCCAGGTTACCTTTGGCATCTTTGCAGCAGGGACACACTGCTGACTTCTGGTCAACTTATTGTCCCCCAGCCTCCTGCCCTGGTTTGCAAAGTTGCTCACTAGCCCATGGTCCCCAGCCTGTCCTGCTGCCGGGGTTACGTGGGGGCAGGACTTGGCAGCGGTCTTTGAACGTCATGAGGTGCCTGTTTAACAAATCTGCTGTTGCTCCTATCTCAGGCAGCTATTTTGTGATTTTGGGGACCACTTTGTTGTTCATGACCCAACAGAAGCCGACCCTGTTTGTGCCTCTGTGCAGCACATCTCCCAGGTAGGAAGCGAACCTCAGCAGGCTCCAACATCCACACTGCCTTTCTGCTCCATGGCGCATCCCAATGGCCTTCTGCATTGTGTCTCCATTCCCTAATATCCGTCTGTCTCCACTGCACACTCCCAAAATGCTGGCGCATCCTTCAGCTGCTTCAAGTCATCAGGATCAGGGTCTCCTGTGTTTATGTCTATTTCTCTCCCTAGGGCAACCCAGGAATTGTGACCTGTGTGGCAGAAGAGGGCCGTGGCCACCTTTTCTCTGATGGTGACATGGTGACATTCTCAGGCGTGGAGGGCATGACTGAGCTGAATGGCCGGGAGCCCTACCCTATTCGTGTGCTGGGTGAGCCACTGAGCTGGGCAGTGTGGGGGTCCCGCTGCAGAATAGGCCTGCGTGCTGTGCCTGGATCTGGTGATTCCCTTCACCAGAGCTTGGTGGGATTTTGCTCTGGTCTGCCTGAATGCTGGAAGAGGATTCCAGCTGTGGTCTGATGTCCTACGGAAACATGGTAGATTCTTAACTATGACTTTCTCCGTTTGCCTGGGCATGTTCTTCCCCCTTTCTCGCTCCATTCACAGATGCCTTCTGCCTGGAGATTGGTGACACGAGCTCATTCTCGCCATACCGCTGTGGGGGCCTAGTTTTGCAGGTGCATCTGCCCCAAGAGCTCTCGTATGTAAGTCTGCCCTCAACCCCACGGTGCTGCCAGCCTGGGTCATGCTCGGGATGGCTGTGTGGGCCAGTTGTTGCCAGGGAGATGCATGCCCGAGAGGCTGGGGCAGCCTGGTGCTTCTGGAGAGGTATCTCATTCTCAAGCCTTTGGGACACTGCCTCCAGGAACCCCTGCGCAAGGCCCTGATGAAGCCAAAGATTCAAGTGTCAAATCCTGAAGACCTACCACGCAGCCGCAGCCTACACATGGCTTTCCAAGCCCTGCACGCTTTCCGCAAAGAGCAGGGACGCCTACCTCGGCCCAGGGTGCAGGTGAGGCCCCATCCTGACCCTTCCCAGCCTCCCCCCTGCCCTGCCCTTGGCTCTGCTTTCTCCACTTGCTCATCCCCCACCACCCTGTCTGGAGGGATCCTGTGTGCGAGGCATCTCTCACCCGCTTTGCCCCAGGGGGATGCCGAGCGGGTGCTGGAGCTGGCACGGAGCCTGGATGAGCAGCAGGATCCCCTGGACGAGGTTGTTGTGCGAGCCTTTGCTAGTGTGAGCGCAGGGGACCTGGGTCCCATGGCTGCCTTCGTTGGGGGTCTGGCAGCCCAGGAAGCACTGAAGGTGAGTGGGGTGGGGAGTGGGGCCCTGTGGGACCTTGTTGCAGGCAGCAGGCATGTCCGGGGTGCTGCCGACAGTGGTCGTCCTCGGCGTGGCCATCCCACAGCCTTTGGTGACCACGAGAGGGCGCTTGCTGTACACTTAGGGATGCTGGGTTCTGTCTGCCTGGAGAGAAGGGCCAGGGTCACCCATCTGGGGTACAGGGAGGGAGCCCAGCGGGGACGCTAGTGGTCAGCAGCAAAGCAGGTTGCAGAGCTGATGGGGGTCTCATTTTTGCCCAGGCTGCCTCAGGGAAATTCCTGCCACTGGACCAATGGCTCTATTGCGATGCCTTGGAGTGCCTGGCCTTGGAGGGGGCTGCACAGCTGACAGAGGAGGACTGCGCCCCAGTGAGAGCTAGCTGGTGCCTGGCGGGTGCTGAGGCTGTCCTGGCCGTGCCAAGATGCTGCCTAGGTGCTGGGGACACTGCAGCCACCCATGCTCACTGCAGTTCATCTGTCCCAACAGAGGGGGTCTCGGTATGATGGTCAGATCGCTGTGTTTGGGGCTGACTTCCAGGAGAGGCTGGGCCACCAGAAATACTTTGTGGTAAGCAGGGGAAGCAGGCACGCTGTGGGGGAAAGGCCTCTGGAGGCATGCAGAGTGCTTGGCCAGCACAGGGGGAGATGGAAAAAGCTCTACCCTGGCAGGTAGGAGCTGGTGCTATTGGCTGTGAGCTGCTGAAAAACTTTGCCATGATGGGGTTGGCTGCGGGGACAGGCGGGGACATCACGGTGACTGACATGGACACCATTGCACGCTCCAACCTTCATCGGCAGTTCCTTTTCCACCCGGCGGATATATCGGTGAGCCACAGCCAGGCAGGGACCAAGGCGCCTGGCCCCACGCTCCTTCCTCAGGAGAACTCAGAAACTTTGCTGTCCATGGGGCAAGGGTGAGCTCCCAGGACAGGCTCTGTCTGGAGACTGGGCCTGGGGGCACCAGGAAGGGTCGTGCCCACACCCTCTCTGCCCTCACAGAAGCCAAAGTCAGAGGTGGCAGCTGCAGCTGTGAGGTGCATGAACCCCGACATCAAGGTGACAGCGCACCAGAACCAGGTGGGGCCTGCCATGGAGCTGATCTATGGGGCTGACTTCTTCAAGCAGCTGGATGGCATCGCCAGTGCCCTGGACACCATGGAGACCCGTGAGTGCCTGGGGCAAGCGGGAGTCAGGCACAGGGCAGTGCCACTTGGCTGCAGGCAGCGTGTGCCACCACTATGACACACTTTGCCTGGGTTTGGGTGGGCAGCTGCTATGCTTAACTGTGGGGGAAAAGGGGGACCTGGTGCCGTCTATCCAGGGCTGGGGCTAAACCTGCCCCGGCTGTCTCCACTCTGTCCAGGCAAAAGTGCCTTTCTGGCTCCTTGGATATTCCTTGCTCCCTACAGGCGCCTACTTGGAGAGCCGCTGCATCCACTACCTCAAGCCGCTGGTGGACTCGGGCATGGAGGGCACACGAGGGAATGTGCTTGTCATGGTGCCCCACCTGACCAAGCTCTTGGGGACTGCCAGTGACCCTGTGGACAAGACCTTTCCCCTTTGCACTCTGCGACACTTCCCCCAGACCATTGAGCACACGCTACAGGTAGGGCCATGTTCGGCCAGGGCCATGGCCTGGCCTGCAAGAGGGGCCCCTCCCCCCCCGGGCACTCATCGAGGAAGCCCCCGGCCTTTGTTTTCCCACAGGAAGCTTTTTCCCCCCCTCCAGCCCCAGCCATGCACAGAGCTGTGAGGAGCTGCTGGCTGTGGGCAGGATATAGGCCCCAGCTGTTTCCTGGCTGGAAGCCTAACATGCGTTCCTGCCAAACAGTCCCCCCACCCCACACAGCTCTGCTACCTTCCTCAGGCCCGGACATGGCCTCTCCCTCCCTGGCACAAAGCCTGGGCCAGCTTGGGCTGGGGTTCCTGGAGACCATGGAGTGCTGCAGCCCCATGCATCAGCCCATGTGTCAAAGTGGAAGGGCTTGGGACCAGTTGTCCCCAACTGGGGGTGCTGGGCAGTGTCCCAAACCTGGGTGCTCCTTTTGCAGGGGTTGGCTGGGACTGGCAGGGTCTTGTGGCCTGCACCACAGGGCCCACACACCAGGCTGATTGGGCCACAGTGACCCCCGGGGAGCAGGGTGTCCCCCCACATTCCAAGGTGCCAATTCTAGCCCCAGTGTCCTGTGTGCAGGGGGGGAGCTGGGGTGAGCACTTGCAGCCCCAGTGTTCAACCCCTAATTTCCCCTCTGCAGTGGGCCCGCGATGAATTTGAGGGGCTCTTCAGGATGCCTGCAGAGAACGTCAACAAGTTCTTAGCGTGAGTGTGGGTGTCGGGAGCAAAGGTGTCCAGGCAGGGCAGGGAGCAGAGCCCGGGGAGGAGCTGTGGGTGCTACTGGGCCACTGCCCACTGCTGCTGGATATGGGGCCAGGGGACACGTGGTTGCATCCTGTGCAGGTTGTCCTGCTGGATTACTCCAGGGACAGTAGCCGGCCTTGATCTTGCTGCTCTGTCCCCATCAGCTGGGACAGGATAATGCTTATCACTGCTGGTGAGGGCTCTTTGGTTGGTCGGCTATACCTGCTGTGAGTTGGGGACATGCTTTGCGCAGGCTAGGGCAAAGGCTGGCCCTAGGAACACCTGGTTTCACAGAGACTCAACTTTCCTGGAGCACCTGGAGGCACCAAAGACACTGGAGGTCCTGGAGCAAGTGTGGAAGAGCTTGAGGGAGAGGCCGCGGGACTGGCAGGACTGTGTGCGCTGGGCCCGCCAGCACTGGCAGAGCTGCTACCACAACACCATCTCCCAGCTGCTGCACACCTTCCCCCCAGAGCATGTGAGCCTGGCACCAAATGGGGCTGGGACCCTCCTGCACCCTCTCCCCTCTACCAGCCACCCCCTTGCCAGCAGGGCAGTGTCCTCAAGCCCGACTCTGCTTTTTCTGTGCCCAGGAAACCAGCCCAGGTGTTGCCTTCTGGTCAAGGGACAGGAGGTGCCCCCATCCACTGACATTTGACCCCGATAATGTAAGTGCAGGACAGAGCTGTGGGGGGTTGAGGCCCTGTGTCTGGCACCCCGTGGGGGACTTTGTGGGCTGGGGGAAAGAGCCAGGCCCTAGCTGGGGGTATGAGGGATGCTGGACCATAGTCACAGGCAGAATGGGGACATCATGGGCCAAGCCGACATGTAGTACCTTGGTTTGTACTCCAACTTGCAAAGCCTGCCTAGGACTTGCAGAGTCCTGGACCAGGGTCTGTCCCTGTCCCCTTGGTCTGCCTTGGCACTGTGGAGCTGCTGAGAAGGTCCCATACATGCTCTGTGCCCTGGAAGAGGAGAGACGCATCTGTTTCCCCCTCAGGGCGAATCTGGGCTGCTCTGACCGGGCGTGGCAGCACAGGAGTGGGCTCATAGGCTGCCCTGGAAAGGTGCTCCATGGCCCTCACTGCCCTGGCACTCTCGCCCGAGGTACAGCCGTGTGTTGTGTGTCATGGCTGCTGCCCGCCTCTTTGCTCAGACGCACAAGATTTTGGCTCACGATGATTGGGCAGCCGCTCGGGAGATCCTCCGTAGCCTGGTCCTACCACCCTTCATACCCCAGAACGGGCTCCAGATCCACATCACAGAGGAAGGGCAGGAGGTCCAGGAGGCTGTGGGTAAGGCTTCTGCACTGGTTTGTTTCCTGGATGCCTGGGTCCCCTATGGTAAGGCTCTGGAGCAGGGAGCCCTGGGTCCAACCTGGTTTTAGCAGGGCTCTGGTGTTGCTGGTTCCTGGCCCATGAGCTGCTGTGGCCAGCACATTAGTCCCTGGCAGCCCCAGCCTCAGGAGGGGAGAGCAGGTGGTCCCCATCCATTGAGTGCTATGTTCTGTGGAGGCCACGCTCTCCGCAACAATGTTGGTTCAGAAGGAACACCCTGGGGCTCTTTTGTGCCTGCAGACCAAGGGCGGCTGGCAGAGCTCACCCAGGAGCTGGCACGGTGGAGACGGGAGCTGGTAGAGGCTGAGGAGATGCAAATACCCATCATGGAGCCCATCCACTTTGAGAAGGTACCCAGGACTGGGCAGGCAGCAGTCTATGCATGGCCACGCTTAGCTTGAGGTGAAGGGCTTGGGGTAGGCGTGTGCCTGGCGCTGGGCACTCTCCCCAGCATAAAAGCTGCTGTGCAGAAAGGCCATATTCGTCCTATGCATGGGCTGCCCTGTAACCAGGCCAGCCATTCCTGAGTGAGCACAGGGGACCAGGAGCGCAGGGACCGTTTCTGAGTCCTGGCTTATCTCCTTGCTGGGAGTGTGCTGTCCCTGAGCAGCCCACAGGGTCTTTGCTGGGTCTTTGGGGGTCTCTGGTGGCTGTCGGTTCCTGAGGGGCACTGATGTCCCTGTGTTCTTCCCCACAGGATGACAGCTTCCACGTGGACTTTGTCACAGCTGCATCCAACTTGCGTGCAGAGAATTACGACATCCCTTGTGCTGACTGGCTCACGGTAAGGTGGAGGGCTGGGCTGCCAGTGGCCAGACAAAGCCCTGTGGAGCCTCGGGCAGGGTTTTGAGGGGAGCCCTGTCCTGCTTGGGGGCAGCTAGTGATGCCCGCTTCTCCCTCAGAGCAAGCGGATTGTCGGGCGGATCGTGCCTGCCATTGCCACTACCACAGTGGCCGTGGCCGGCCTGGCATGCCTGGAGATCTACAAGCTGGTGTGGGGGTGCTGGGACCGCAGCTGCTACCGCAACAGCAACCTGTGCCTTTCCAACTCCCTGCTGCACCGCCTCCAGCCTCTGTCACCCACCACCTACAGGGTAGGACCCTCTCTGATCTGGGGGTGCTGGGTCAGGGTGTAGAGTGGCAGATGGGGAGGCTTCTCCTGTGGCAGAGAGCAGTCTGGGGGCCTCTGGGGTGCCCTGGTTCTTGGTGCTGGGGGTTATGGGGGTCCTTGCTGTGCTGCCATGAGGATCTGGGCTGGTTGCGAGGACGCTGGGCAGCAGGCAAGGAGCTGGCTACACAGGAGGGACAGCCGGGGCAGCTGAGGCTGTCAGGGTCCGGAAACAGCCCTTGGGCCTGTGGTGGACTGGGCGCGCCTCCAGGCAGCAAGGAATTAGCTCCTTCCTGCAGCCTTGCCGGCCCCTGCGGCCCGGGCTGCTCGCCAGGCCCCCGCCGCCCCCCTCGCACAAGGGAGCGGAGCTGAGCTCCTGGGGCCTGCAGGC